GCGGTAATTAGTTTTCAGACCGCTTTACAGGTAAACAAAGTTCAGATTAACGCCCTCAAGTGGACGTACACTCCTCACCCCTCCCCTCGGACACTTTTTCCTGCACTGTGCGATCACGGTTATGCGCATGCGCACCGTCGGTCTCTTCAGAATAAATTTGTCGGCTCATCACTAAATTTGAAATCACCATTACTGGCTCACTGTTTGTGTCACGTACGGATTTCATAACATAGGTAAATATAGAGAACATATTGGGCGAAGTTTAGGTCTGGATATTGGCTAGAAAATGGAAATAAAAATCGATGAAACTTACCACGTGGCGAGTTGTTGTTCTCTTTAATATGTACACAAAGTTGGTGGACCCACTACCTTCAAGAACAGAATAGTGCAAAGAATTGTTACAGTAGTGATTTTCATTATACTTAACGTTTTATAGAAATGGGTGATGATTGTTACCAACGATCCAATTTCTTATAGCCATTATTCAATTCACTTATCAGAGGTAAGCGCTCAATTTTACTGTTAACAAATCCTACATGAAACTGAGCGGTGAATATTAGATTCTGATGTGTTATCAAGTTTACGGTTGATTGTATACCTTTAGCTAGAAGTATTTGCTTCACTTATTTTATCAGGTACCATGCATTAACCCATACACTGTGCACGGTAATATTGAACTAAATGGGTCGTTTCTTTGCAACTGCTTTCTCTTCAGTCATGAAGGATCGTCCATAATAACATTTACTTACCTAGTTTTCTCTATAAGACAATCAGCCTTCGCGGTTTATTCAGCAAGTTCACAGAGGAGCTCACAGAACTGTGAAATCGTCAAGAACAGTGGATCATGCATATTTACGGCCTAAGCACGTCAAACGCCCTATTGCTGTGCCCAATCATATCATTTGACAAGAGGGAAAGGACAAGTCTTCCTGTGACGCAAGAAAAACCTCTAAGGTACTAGAGAGTTTATTCTGTTCAAATTATGATTTGTTTTGTAACCTGTTCCTTGCTTGAGTTAACACTTCCTGTTTATGATACCACACTGATAATGCAAAGTCATGACTACTTGCCGGCGTTACCGGCTCCATTACAATTCACTACAAAACACTTGAAAAACAAAAACAAAAAACAAAGAATTGCAAGAACATTATACCTTCCTGTGGGATGAGATAAGAGCGCCATTAAGCATTGAATAAATTTCACTTGTGTTCATTAGGTACATTAAAATCCCATTTCCATGAATTAGTGTGCCGACAGTCAGGGGCACCCGCCGTCAATTTTCGGAAAATATCTGTTCGGAAGACGATTTAAAATCTAGAATTTTTGGAACATTTGGTGTAAAATTTCTTGCTTGCCTGCCTCTGCTAGGATTTTCAAATATCTAAAAAGTGGTTTAATCGCCCATTTTAAACGGATTTTTACCCTAAATTTCTGGCTGAAATTTTCGAAAAAGTAAGTTTTGATCCCTATAATTTTCGGATCACTAGACTTTCAGCTAGGAAATCCGAACAGATGAACAATTTTTAGGAGATAAAAATATGCCTATAGCTACAGTTTAAATACTAAAATACGTTCAACAATGCTTTGTTTAAGTGATTTTGAACTATATTGTTCTTGAACTATATTGCTGCCGACGACGACTGCTCTTTTGCACTCTGAATCAGTACCCTCTCATCATTTCGTCAATAGAAGTCATCCAATGGAAGTTTTCTATGTTCACTACGCTGGTCTACGAAGATATACATGCACTTCTACTTCTGAAAATAGCCAACAAAGTAAAGAACCTAATGACTCAATGCGTCAAAAGTTTAACAGATGTATAAGGTAACACCTACAACAGCCAAAGACGAGGAACTAAATTGGAACTTTTTTAATGTTTCCTGGCTGGGACTGAGCAACATAGAAGACTAGTATTGCTGAAAATAGCAACTGCGTCGCTTTCCCCCGGTGTCATGCATTTATGGCGAACCAAGCAAGTAACCATCATGTAGAAATATCTCTTCATCTCCAAATTATATATATATAAGGTCGCAATTAGAATATACAGTCAGTTACCCGGTACGATTAAAGGGCACTTTTAAAAGGGACTTTGTAGAACAACACGACATCACACACTAACCCATTCCGCCGTTATCAACAAAGTTAGCGATTATCATATTTTAACAGTGATTGAAGTGAAAATAGGCCTGTATTCGCAGGAAAAACCGCTTAGCAAACTAAGCAACCGAGAAAAAACTTTGTGTCTGCAAAGATAGTAAAAAATCTCGATGAACGTTTCGATCTACTAATTTCATTTGACCAATTCAAAGAACCTTTTGATAGAAAAACGCTGCGGTTTATGCGGGAACGAAACATTATCTCTCTTCGAGAAATATTTTCTTGTATGAACCTGTAAACTTGTATAATTCCCGATGAATTTAAGCCCCCTTTTTTTAATTAGGAAAGTCTTTTCTGGGGTCTCCAAAGCATTCCTTTCAGAAATATCCTTTAGATTAGGAGATCTAAGACTGCCACTGCTTGGAGGAGTCAAATCAACCAAAACATGCGTTTCTTTCGCGTTGGGAGTGTTGAATTGAGGGGGCATTGTAAGGCGCCGAGCTGCACGTGGTCGCTCGCAATTCACGTCGTCGCCGTCTCCTTTGAGGGAACTCAAATCCAAGCCATTGAAAAATTCTTTCACTTTATTAATCGCAGCGGATCCTCGTTCTTCAGAACCAGTTTTTTTCCTCAGAATGGCCGATACAAGCCCAAAAGACGAGCACACAACTTCAAAAGCACTGGAATTTTTCTTGTTGACGAAGGGGCGCCCATCAAGAAGCCGAAGTTTGCTTCTTTCAATTCTGCAGAAAGCTTCAGGAAAGGTTGTCACTATCGGCGATCGCTTTAAATATTGCAGAGGAGTAACTCCACAAATTTCCGTTGTGAGTACATACCAGTAACTCTGATCGCTTAATCCCTCACTGACGACGCGAGAGAAGGTCGAAAAACCTTTCCTCGGCGCCATTTTGAGGGCAATGTCAAAAAAAACCTTCATGCACATCGGAAACTACATGCACTGAAAAGCAATCTGGGAAAAAAAAACAAACATTGTCCAGATCCAACCGAAAGAGGCGCAAACGATATTAACCATGCAAACGCTGACATAAAAATCACATATTTAATTGGATTAAATCACCTACGGAGCTTGATGTATACTTACAGTGCAGACGATTTGCGTCCCCTCATGGCGCTGAGGTATGTAAATAATTTATGTTAAAATTGAATACTAAAATTTAGGCAGGTACAAAAGTCGGACCGGATCAACTCGGACCGCCAGTCCGGGTCGGATCAACTCGGATCGACTCGGACCAACTCGGATCAAATAAAAAAATAAAAATAAAATAAAATTGGACTCGGATCAACTCGGAGCAATCAAAAAATATTAAATTAAATCAGCAAAACTGACAGTTTAACCCATTTGGAGGGTAAAAAAGGCCAGATCATCCTTTTTTCTCCGTGGCTTTCAGGCGCCATTTTGTTTTACTAGTGCCAGTTCCTCTCGGATCATGTTATAAACTCGTGGTTTAGAATGTATATATTTTAGCATCAAAAGCCTGGTCTGTTGATCGCATATAGATAGTTACCGAAGAGTGTTTGTTTGCTTGTTCCTGTTTGTTTGTTTTTTTTTCTGCAAAACTTCTGAAACTTAATTTTAATGATACACTAGTGAGCAGTACACATACATTTCCAGTGAACATTTTCAACTTGGGAGGAGGAGAAAGCATGTTCGCCTGGGACAAAGGAAATTTCCATGCCCGTGGCAAGAATCGAACTCGCGACCCTCCGGTTCAGTGGTTGGAACGTCCGATAAACATGTAGTATTCGGAGGGTCGTGAGTTCAATGCTCGCCCAGGGTACGAAAATTTTCGTTGTCCCCGGCGAACATGATTTCTCCTCCTTCCAAGTTGAAAATGTTTACTGAAAGTGTATGTGTGCTGCTCACTAGTGTATCATTAAAATTAACAAAAATAAAAATAAAATTAATTTATGCAACCACGAGTTCGTGAGAAAAAAACAAAATTGCGGGTGAAAGTTAAGTGATAACGACTGATTTTATTTTCCTTTTTATAATCCGAGTTGTTTTTTTAACTAGGCTCAGGTTAAAATAAAATAAAAATAAAAAAATAAGCTAGGCTCAACCAGGCTCAGCTAGGCTCAACTAGGCTGGGCCTGACCGCCAGGCTCAACTAGGCCAGGCTGAAAACATGGACGCTCTAAAATTTAGGACCTGATGCTGTATAAACATTTGTTTATGCATATCACAATTACAACTCACTGAACTCAGATGCACAATAAACAGACACATTTAATTTAAATTTTCTTATTACAATGCAACCAGCAAGAAATCAGCTCGTTCTCGCTAAAATATACATAATGAGCACTGCGCAGTTATCGCGGACGAGGACCAATCGTCTATAACTGTCAACCCTAATGGCACAGGGGTCATCCGCTAATAAGACTAAATAATGATTGTAGGTGATTATTGAAAATTCTCCACACTCATTGGCTGCACTTGATTATTACGTGTTAGAGCCTATTTACATGGTCCGCTTATACGTCACGGTTAATGATTCACAAAAATTGCATTTTTTTTTCTTTACAGTTGTGTCGAATAACTGAAAACGAAAGCCAGTTTAAACAGCTATGGCAATTATCTTAACCACAGGGACCGATCAACAAGAATTTAGACCCGTTGAATGTCGTTTACTTTTTCATTTGAGCCGAGTGACTTATTTCCATACTTCAAAAGTATCCCGCCTTCAATCTCGTCGCAGGACCATGTAATTAGCTCTTATTCACCTAAATAAGGCATAAGGCGTTTTTTTTCAAAATGAAAGCAAGCCGTTTCCATTGCATTTTCAGTGTGTTTTTAGTTGATATATCTGTCTTGTTATGCACCTATATAATGGAACATTACGGAAAGGTGCTAAAATATAAGGCGTCTTAATGTTGGAATCTCGTCAATGAAATATGACCTTCAGCGTTTCGCCCGCGGAGTAGCCGCCGTCATAGATATACTTTGAAGTTCCAAAGAATGCATCGTTCCATGTACTCACCTTATCGACACAGAGATAAGATGTTTCTCCGAAATTAGCCTGCACCTTGAACTTCTCACCACCGGATACAGGGTACAGACGAAAGTATTGACCATCATCATAGGATTGATTGTAAAGTGCAGTACCGAAAAAAGCATATTGACAGCTATCGGATCCGACACTTTCGACACAGAGAAACGACGTAGTCCCATAGTCTGCCCTTATCTTAAATCGTGTACTGTCTGCACGCACGAGAGTAAGTTTATCACCGTCATTTTCGTATCCTGAACTTCCAAAGAATCCCCAGTCCCAGGACTTGCTGCCCGTGACCTTGTCATACGGACACAAATTTGCTGCTTTTCCGTTGCTTGACTGAAGCTGTAAGCTTCTGTAGTCGAATCGCACAATCTTTACAACATTGCTGTTCATGTAGATATTCATTACAGCTTTGCCATCTGATGTCGTATCGAGCTCATAACCCAGTGCAAAAATCATGAAGCTATTCTTGACACCATCATCGTTAAAAAAGACACTAAGTGCTTCTTTTGCAGAATTTTGGTCATGCGAACTTCTTTGAAGTGAACATAAGATCTTTGCACAGGGAGATATTTTCCAATTGATAAAGTTTAACCTTGCTTGCGAGACCACAGAATTCAACGGGCGAAACGCCAAAGCTGGCGTTATTGTGATTTCATCCAGTGGATGCGGTAAAATATAATCTGCTAATATAATCAGCTTTTTAGCGTCAAGCTCCCTTTTCAACTTGGTGATGTTCTCATCACTTTCAGAGAATCCATAAGTAACCACTTGAGAATGCGAGTTACCGCTGATTATCCTGGCAATTTCAGCAGCAGTTGTGTTAATAATGGGTGCACCCATTAGCGTGATAATATTAAAGGTACCATCCGATACATACTTTTCAACACTAACTGTCTGGTAGTCTATAGTCGGTATTCTATTTGGAATCTTCTTTCCTATATCAGCACCATTGGATACCAGTTGGAACTGATGATTGACATTGTATGCTCCAGGAAAGCCAGTAATTAAGCCTTCGGAAGCGATCCTTCCTTCACCCCAGAAGTCGAGTATCTGTTTTGAGGTCGGACGTGGAAGCTGAACCGAATGGTATTCGTAGGGTTGATTTCTTGGATACTCCGAGTAGGGGAACTCCAGGTCTAAGTTTCCTTGAACATTATAGTTAGGGCGAGGTGCCCTTCGCCATTCGTCAAAAGATGAAGCCCGCAGAACTCTTTTCCCTTTCAGAAGAGTATCATTATCTGACATCATTTTGCTCCGTTAATATGAAGTTCGATCTCTGTATAAAAGATTTAAACAATTATCAAACCTTATAATGGGGCAAACTTTCAAATTATCCCGGTGAGCTGTCGGAGGGGGGGGGGGGTAGCCTGCGTGCAGACGTCTCCTTTTTCCTTTGTTGCACGTGGAAAAGGGACGTCTGCGTAACGCCGTCGCTAATCGTGTTCAGCGTCCCGCTGACAGGGTATGCAATTTGCATAAATTGTGAAATAATATCCGCAATGTTAAAATAGGTTGACAGGCTAAAGTTTCGCGATGTAATAATACTATGACCTTTAGAGTTTAGCTCTAACAAGTATGTCTTTCAGAGACTTTCCTCTTCTGTAAGAGATGAGAGGTAGTTTTCTGTATATTCTACTCAGCAATGGGTGATTTTCAATTAAATGCCAGTTGCTGATTAGAATCTTTTGAAGACTAGGCACTGATGGGTTGTACTGTGTAACAAAAGGCATTCGTTTACTTTTTTCCCCTTGTGGTTTCCGACTCTCTATCGGTAAATTTAAGTTCTGCTATCCTCAAATATATTGTTTGAAGAGTTGGTTCTCAGACGTCTAAGCGCTTCGCCCTTAATAGATCCTTTTCTCACCCCCGAAGCGTGACAGGAAGAGAAATGCGTGTATTGAAATGTCTCTGTCGGTTTAAAATGAGTGCGGATATCAAGGACAGAGTTTTCGTAGAATCTCTCGCCCTTAAAGACAGTAGTGTCTAGTAAGGTTATTTCCTTATCTGAAATTTCAGCAGTAAATTATATCGTTGGATGATGCGTATTCGCTTCTAAAATAAACTGATTTAATGCTTGCCTTCCTGTGTCCTACAGGGAGAAAACATCATCAATGTATCTTTTCCACTCGAGGGGTTTAAACTTGCTTTTACTGATAATTTCTGTTTCAATCTTGGACATAAAAATGTTCGCAAAGGCCACTGCGATCTTGCTGCCCATAGCAGTACCGTAAGGCTTTGGAACTGTACCTTTGAAAAATTTCTTCGTCGAGTTCTCGTTAGTTGGTGGAAAGTCCACGCCGCATTTGTAGTTTTCTCAGACACTGCTTACAAATATGATGTGAAGTGTCATGCACAGTAAATTGTAAAGAAATAATTTCCTCATACACGTTAAATTTTCCGCGGCCTCGCACAATATTTCGATCGCTCTGTTTTTCGATCTACGAAAAACACAGCACACAATTGCACATGTTTTGATTTGTTTTGGCTGGAAAACCCCGCTTACATAAATCACCGCATACATTACCAGACCAGATTCGATAACAACCAATCAGCGTTAAGTCAAACAATGCGCACTGTGTGTCAGCCTATCTCATCGTGTTCCCGGGACGCTGGAACACGATTAGCGACGGCGTTACGCAGACGTCCCTTTTCAGCGTGCAACAAAGGAAATAGGAGAGGTGTGCACGCAGGCTAGAGGGGGGAGGGGGGGGGTAGATGATGTCAAAAAGTTAGTGCGGGTATTGTGGCTATGAGACGAATTAGGCCTTTTGTATCATCTGCGACTGTAAAATTTGAGCAGCCTTTCTTTGACTATTGCAGCTCTCACCGGGACAACTGCGGATTGGGTCTTAAGAAGGGACTACAAGGTTAATTTCTGGGGCAATTTATGAAACTCGATCCACTGACTTTCTTAATTAATAGTCTCAACTGGAAACAACATTGTTGAAAATACGTGGTGACATAATTCGTAGTATGGGCAAATATGAAGTAACACTGTAAGTTATGTTATATTACTCGAAAGTACCGTAAACCATAGCAGGCTTATTGAAAAGTTGCAAAAATTTGGTTTTTTATCTAAGTTCATAAAATGGTGTTATAATTGCTTGACTAATCATTCGCAATTTGTTCAAATTGACATTAAGAAATCGCGAATAGGATGTACACAATTTGGCGTTCCTCAAGGCTCTGTTTTGGGTCTGTTATATTTTAATATTTACGTAAATGATCTGGCTAATTCATTGCCTTCCAACCTGAATAGTATGCAGTATACTGATGATACATCTTTATATTTACACTCAAAGCCTGATAATTTGGTGTCTGGTTTTGAAACTTTTAGCAACACTTCAAGTGATCTACACGTTCGGTCAGTCCGTTCCCACCTAGTAGCAAATCGTGAGAAGACTAAGTCAATGATTATCTCTACCCCACAGATAGCGCACCGACATAATTTACAGGATTTGAAAATGGAAATATATTTTGACGGGACTCAGCTCGAGCAAGTTCCTATGGCAAAGATCCTTGGAATGTACCTTGAGTCCTTGAAAGCCATCTTAAGTGGGGAGACCATGTTACACTGACCGTAAAGACCTGCAACAGTACTTTATCAGGTTTTACGCAAAATTAAGAATTTTGCGGATTCTAAGTTGCGCAAACGAGTTGTTGAAAGTTCGGTACTGTCGAAACTGGACTGTAACATATCTGTATATCACCCGCTTCCGGCTGCTTAATTATTTGATGAAACGTTTGCAGAGAGCGCAAAATGAAGCAGCTAGTTTTGTACTTAATAAATATGTCAAGGATGGTAATTATATGATAACGTTGGGATGGCTACCTGTCGAACAACTGACTATCAAATATTCAATATAATTGACTTCTAAGGCCATACATTTTGAGCAGTGGCCAGCAAATTTGAAGTAAATTTGGCAATAAAAAGAGAAGGTTTGCCATCAGAGTTTTGCTCTTCGGCTTCAAATACCGATGACAGAAGGAACCTTTCAAGACTACGCCACATGTACCTGTAATAATTTACGTCCTGAGTTGAGGAACGGTGATGATTTAAAAACTTTTAGTATATGTTTCAAATTTTTAATGGACAATATAGTAGTCTTATATTGAACAGTGGGTTGCGCAGTTTTTTATCTTTTTCTTTCTTATTTTTATCCTGTTTTCTAGTATTTTATTTTTTTCGTAGTTTTAATTGATCTTTGATGTATGAACAGCCACAATATCTGTGGATATAGAAATCTTAGGGAAAAAATTTGTCAGCAAATTGCTGCGTAAACGTATGCATTTAAATGTCTTTGTCCAACGGGAATAAAAAAAAAAGAAATAAATCAGAGCTTTTGGAAGTTTTGCATAAATGAATTTTAAAATGCTGAAAAGCTACAGCCCAAAGTACAAAAATCGTTTGTTCAATTGGCCATCATGGTTGAGTTCGTTTACCCCTGCCAGTAAAGAGTTCAATCTCGAATGTCCTATGTGAAATAGCCAAAATAATAAAAAAAGACGAAAAGCCGTGCTTCTGCCTTTCCTTTTGATCAAATTAATATTATTTCTTTTCAACGTTGTCCAGTTTTAAGAACACAACTATAAAGAATAATCTGCAGGTGTTGGGACGAAAAAACTGTTCCCTCTGTTTGTAAATATGCTGCGGCCATTTTAATTGATAGGAAATATTCGGGCTAGGAGTCCGCTCATTTTCATCCTATTTGTCTGGAACTAGTTTTATTAAAAGTTTTAACATTTTTTCTGTGACAATAATCTAATCGAGTTGGGTATTCAGAAAGGTTTTTTGCCAGGAACTTTGATTAACATATATAATTAACCATGCGCAAAATAAACAAAGGTCTCATGTGGGTACATTGATCAATATGAAAAACGCTTTCGTAGAGGTTCATCATAACTTTATCCGTGCTATATTATTAGCTCATCATATTTCTGAAGAAGTTATTGCTCTCGTTGAAAATTTGTATTTAAATTTAAGTATTTCAGTTCTCACTAAAGAATTTATTACCAAACCAATTCCGGTGGAACGAGGCGTTTTGCAAGAAGATTGTTTGTCACCCTTGTTATTCAATCTGTGCGTTAATTCATTGATCCATATGATTGATAATGCAAAGATCAAGTGCTTGGTTGTGTAAGCAATGTAACAGTGAGTCCCCGGCATTGGTTCCAGTTTGCTGACGACACAGCAATAATAACATCACATGAAAAGGATAATAAAGTTCCTTGCAATGTTTCAATAAATGGTCTACGAGGGCTGATTTAAATGTATTTGTGTGTATGTGTGTACTTCGTGGCGTGTGGTTCGTTATCTTTACTTTGGGGCTTTTAGTGAACAAGTAAAATGATACAGGATATAGTCCGTGTAATTATTTCCTCGGTAATTTCTTCTTTCAAATCAAATCATTTGCATTTTAAAATATTGCCATTATTGTTATTGTAAAGCTTTAAAACTGGGAGGTTCACCATCAACTATAGCCTTTTCCCACTTTTTGCCAGCTGTATTCAGCTTTCAACGCCGTTCCGCTTTGGACGACTTTAATAATGACCCGGTGGTTTATGCATGGATTCGGCTCAACTCTGTACAGGTTTGTTGGCCCTGCGTTTCAGTTACCTTGAAATCAGCATTGAACCGCAATTACTTTCTTGATATATATTCGAGGTTCAGTAGTCGACGTCAGTAGATTGCTAATTTAAGACCGGTCACTATACTGAATTAAAAGATCAAGTTTGTTCCCTAAATCTTAATTCATCATTTCAGTTTATACATCTTTGCAACAATTTTGGATTCAAAGAAAAATTCGCAAATTCTTCAAGATCCCGTCTATTTCGGATAGATTTTTAGAAATTACTCCCATTAACTGTTAAATAGCTAAATGGTTAAACAGCTTGTAAGAATTTAGTCGCTTGTTTTACCATAGTTAATTGAGTGGAATGGTTATGAAACCCGTCAGACTCCTTTGTTATATGTTTTTGTGGACCTGAAAGTGCACAACGTTCAAAAGAATTCCTATTATTTTGATTGTATTGACCAATAAAAACGTTGCATTAATTTATTCCGTAACAATTTGCCAACAGAAAACAAAGGATTGTGCACTTTCAGGGTGTTTCCAACATAAACTGCAGCACTGTTGTTTTTATCATTGATGTTTGCCGCTTTTCATAACCAGTCTCCTCTAATAACTACTATGGTTTTACTGTCTCATAATTGTGTTAGTTGCAGAGAGCACTGCGCAGATTGA